AGGTCAATTAAAAAATCTAATGACCTCATTGGGACTTGAACCCGCGACCTTCCGGCTTGTAGCACAGTCCCTCAACCAACTACGCTACCGCGTGCCCCCCTTAAACTCTAGTAAATGTTGTAATCAAAATTGTGTAATTATAGGTCCCATTTAATATTTAAGGTCATATTTTACACTTTTTAGGTTATATTTGACGTAATTTTTGGTCATAAGTGCATGCATATACAGAGTGTTTCACGACTTTAGGGTATAACTGAAGGTGGTGATTTCCAAGGTCTTTGTTATCAAAAAAATTCATATAAACATGTGTCCGATTTTGGACGCTTACGGAGTTATGACCGTTTTAAACTCAGGATACAAGTTAACGATTACTGACAATAAACGGAACAAAATAATCAACCAGCATAATACATGATACAGTTAAAGTATGTATGTAAAGTTAACTTCGTGAAATTACCTTTAATTTGAATTTATTGGTGCTTAAAGCTGATTTTCGAAAATGTCACCGCCGGCCGCAACACAGGTTGCCGCTCGGTTGTGAACCGCGCCGGACATACCAACCCACCCCGCCTTAGGTAGCTCTCAAGTGTCGAGATAACGAGAACGCTCTGTCTGTAGCTGGCTAAACTAGCGACCCGCCAGCTGACAGACGCGGTTCACACGAGGGCGTGTACGGGAATGAAAAAACGGTCATAACTCCGTAACCGCCCAAAATCGGACACATGTTTATATGAACTTTTTTGATCACGAAGATCTAGGAAACCACCTCCTGCAGTTATGCCCTAAAGTCGTGAAACACCCTGTATTTATGGTTTTCAGGCAACAAAAATCCGGGCCCTATTTACAAGAATGTGCTACAGAAGGCCGGATGAGTAGTGCCTAGGCTTCATTTGTATTTATAATATATTTTCTGCAATAAGGAAAGTGCAGGTAGCAGGTAGCATCAGCGCATGAGCATGCTCAGAGACTGGATTCAGCAGTCAAAATGGCGACGATGCTTGAGGAGTACTCTACTGAAGAGCAATGTTCTGTTGTGCGTTTTCTTTTTGTGGGCAAAATTACTCAATGCCAAGGATATTCTGTGTTTGTTGCGTAAAGCGGTTCATAACTGCGTCAATAAATTATCTCAAGGACGTTCTAAAGTCGCTGATGATGCTCGACAAGGTCGTTTGTTGAGATTGCAACAGAAGCAACTGTGTAGCGTGTGTAAGAATTGATTCGAGCTGACAGGAAGAGAATGATAGTGTAGCACTGCACTATGGTGTTCCCATGGTTTAACATACAGCATAATGCAAGTTCTTTTGAAGTTGCGGAAAGTGTGCGCATGGTGGGTGCCCAGAGGACTAAAGGATCAAGAAATGGGTCTGTCGTTGCAACATCTCTTACGTTATGCAGATGAAGGAGAAGATATGCTTAACAGGATATTTACTGGGGACGAATCATGGGTGCACCATTATCAACCCGAATCAAAGAGCGCTTCAGTGCAAATAAAACGCTAAAACGGAGGTTCGGAAGTGGCTGAGACAACAGTAAAAAGACTTCAAAATGCTGATTTCGACGCACTGGTAAACTGATCTGCTGCCAGGAAACATTTAGTGAAAATAGACCAAGAAAACTTAGCGTGTGATCTAGTGATTTGCAAAGTGTGGAGATCAGCAATGGTGCTGTGATTACTTGTACATGCGAGTCGTGTAAGTGATCAATAAATCCATTCGCAATCCAAACACCCGTCTATAATCACCCACATGTGCCAGACGACAAACAGGGAATGTTTCCCTAAGAGGAACAGGAGTTTGTTTTGGAGACAAGGTGTTCGTTCAGTGAGATACTAGTTAGTTAGTTATTTGGAGAGGGTGGGTTTCCCCATGCACTTAGACCTGTATTGGTCCATTGTGCTTCCTTCTATGATTTCTACCAGTCTCTATATCCTACCCGTACTGGTGCTTACCATTAGTCCCGCCCAGCCAGCGAGACCGGCTCTACTAGCTGAGAGGTATCTATAATGCTTTCCCCATCTACCAGAGGTATTAGAGACTGCTGTTGGGTGGGAAACGTTCGTAAATTTGGCTCAGTGACCTCTTTTGGAGATATGAGGTTCTTTTACGTGCCGTAAAGCTACGACACGGGACCCACGGCTTAAAGTCCCTCCCGGAGGACTTGTTCCTTGAATTTTTCCGCCCTTAAAAATTCGACGACATCCGCCGGGTATTTGAACCCGCGTACTACGAGTCATGAGGTGGGAACGTTACCTCCAGACTACGGAGGCCGCTTAGCAGCAAGTTACTAGCGTAAATAACATCAACAGATCTGCTGGAATGGTAATTTAGGTGGCCTAGAATGGCCGCGCCATAGCTCAAGCGGTTAGTGGCTGACTTCCCACCGAGGCGGCCCGGGTTCCATCCCGGGTCTGGTCAAGTGGAATTTGTGGTGGACAAAGTGGCGCTGGGGCACGTTTTCTCAAAGTACTTCAGTTTTCTCTGCCAATCTTCATTCCACCAATTGTTATACAATCACCCTCACCTATCATCTGGGGCTGATACAATAGGCCAGAAGTGGCCGTAGTACAAGAGACTTAGTCTCACCCCACTGGCAATAAAAAAATAAAAATAATAGGTGGCCTGCAAATCCTTGTTTGTAATGGTAATGTTCGGACCACTGAACCACAGCTGATGTAGTTGATGATGCCAAGGTGACAGTCATGAGGTGGGAACGTTACCTCTAGACTACGGAGGCCGCTTCCGTGAGATACTAACTCAGTTTTTAAATATTATTTACATAAA